CATGGTGGTGCACACCTGTAATCCCAGCACTCTGGAGGCTGAGGCAGGAGGGTCCTTGCGAGTTTAAGGCCAGCCTGGGCTACAAAGGGAGCTCAAGAACAGCCTGAACTGCATAGGGAGACCCTGTCTCAAAAAGACAAAAGAAAAAAAAAAAAAAAAGGTTAAGGGTTAAAAGGACGGTGGGTAGAGCTGCTGAGTGTTTGGGTCCTGAGACTGATTGCAACATTAGGGAAAAATGTGACGTGATTATCCCTATTCTTACAGCACTGATTCTCAAACTTGGTCGTGCGTACAGACAGACCGAGCTAAAACACAGATTCTGATCAGTCTGGGAAGGGCAGGTAGAGTTTCCATTTGCAGTGAGCTCCCCCACATATGCTGCTGGTGGTCCTTGGGCCATGCTTTGAATAGCAAGGTGCTTGAAGATCTAGCTTTGCCTGGTTTATGTGTGCAACAGAGGAACCATTTTATTTCTATTTCAAAGTAGTCTGACTAACTCACTCAAAGATGTGGAGAGACAGTTATATCTAAGCCATATGCCTGGTAAAGGTATTCTCTGCTGAGGTTACAGGAAGTGGACAATAAGCAAGGTTGCTGAAGGAATGAATGAGATTTCCCAATTAGCCAGGCTTCGTGCTGAATAAACATGATGCCAAGAAAGTGGGCAGGGCGGGGATCGGCTCCGATGTTTCTGGCAGAAGCCCCAGGTGGGAAGGAAGAGAGGAGTGAGCAGGAGCTTTGGAGACAGGTGTGGGGTTTATTTCTGTACAGCTGGCTTTGAGACACCAGGGCAGAGCTGTCCAGCAGGCGGATTGTGGAGATGGCCTTTCAGGCCATTTCCTTAGCTTCCTCTGTGTTTCCCTAGGCAGAGGAGGACCCCGGTGGGCTAAGATGGATTCGGATGTTTTGTTTTGTTAGGGGGAGTCGGACTCAGGACCTTGCACTTGCCAGGCAGGCGCTTTGCCGCTGAGCCGCATCCCGGGAGATGGACTCTGAGGTCGTGGCCCCGAGGCCAGTCATTCTTCCTGCACACAGCCCTTCTCTGGTGTGTGGGGCAGGCAGGTGGTGTCACCTGTAACGGTCAGGGTGTAGGTCCTGGGGAAGAACAAATGCAGAAGCGGCCCCGCTGGCTGTTCCTGCTGGTTCTCTGTTGTTCTGTTTTTTAACAGCGGAGATCCAACAGGGAGGTGCAGTAAGACCGTCTGCGAGGTCGTGGTGGAGGACCTGTGGTGGGATACACAGCCCTTCTCTGCTCAGCTTCCGCGTCTGCAGAAGGAAGTGTCATGTATCGCCCAGGGTTACTGTGGAAGCCAAGGAAGTGTGTGTAAAGTGCTGAGGGCAGCGCTTCATAGGGGATCAGTGAAGACACAGAAAGGCAGACCCGTAAGGAGACTGAGGGGAGAGGCACAGACCAAGTATCTTGGGGCTCCAGCCCGTGGACGTGACACTGGCCGGCTGTCGTCACCGTGGTCCTGCGGCGTAGCGCTAACGTGTACGTAGTTATGCACGTGCCACACCGTGTTCACGGCCCTCTAGTTCATCTCATTGATTCTCACAGCGCTCCCTGAGTGTGGTCCTGTTCTTTACCCCATTGTACTGGTAAAGAAACCGAGGTGTGCAAAGGGCCAGTAACTTGCCCAGCTCCCAACAGCGAGTAAGAGCTGGCAGCAGGTGCCGGCAGCAGCAAATTCCCGGGTCTGACCTGGTGCCCCCAGCACCCCGCTGCCTCCAGCTGCCCCACGGCAGCTGCTCGCTCCGCGCTGGCCGTGGCTGCGTGTGGACTGGAGCCGAACCCTGCTTGGTCTAACCACGCGGTGCCCACCTGGCTCTGGCGAGCGCTGGCCGGGCGGCTTGGCATGATGCCGACACCTCGTGGGGGGTGTGGGCAGTCCTGCCCCAGCACACCCTCCCAGGCCACCACACCCTCACCAGGCCCAGCCTTCATTATTTTTCTTAAATATTTATTTTTGGGTTTTCAAGACAGGGTCTCACTATATAGCACAGGCTGGTCTCAAACTTGCAACTGTCCTCCTGCCTCAGCCTCCCGAGTGTTGGGATTACAGGCGTGCAGCACCATGCCCGGCTGAGCCTGATTTTAATACCATTTTATTTAGAAGTGTTTCTTGATACAGAGACGTATATTGGCTTGGTTCATTTTTTTAATCAGTATTTTTCACAGCCTTTTGAGAGTCTCAGGAACCTAAGCTGCAACACGTCAGCTTATTTTTTATGGGGTAGTGCCCTAAAACTACAGACTGAGAACTTAAAATTAACTTCAGAACATAAACCAGTTTAAAGAACTCCACAGACAGCAAAACTGCCGGACACCTTTTTTCTTCTTTTTTACCGTCCCCACCTGTAAGTCCCCTGCCCTGTGGAGTTAGAGCTCATCCCACATTGAGTGAAAGAAACAGAGTCAGGATCCCCACATGGAGCTGAATATCAAGCAGCCCAGCGTGAGACACGCGTGAGGTACTACTCCGTCATGGCAGAGATCAGAGGGTTGATGGCGCGGCTGGTGGCAGTCAGACGGACCCACCCGGAAGGGAACTAGATTGGCGTGTGGTGACTGGCTTGGTGGATGGCCTCCTTTGTCCTGGCTGCGGTCAGCGTCATCACCACTCAGGCCAGTTTAGGTAAACTAGATGTCTGCAGTGTGGTCCTCCGCTTGAGTTGCTTTTCAGTATTCCCTGACAGCTCTGTCCACGGGCCTGCTCGCTTGAGACAGGTCTTAGTGTGCAGCCCAGGCTGGCCTCGCAATCACAGCGATCTTCCTGCCGTGGCCTCCCGAGTGCTGTAATTACAGGCTTGAGCTACCACGCCTGGCCCTGTGTGATTTTAGTGGCTGGCGTTACAGTCTCGCTCGGTAGGATGCATATCCAAAGCCTGAACACCAAGCCCGCCAGTCACCGGGGCCAGTCCTGGCTCTGAGGAGAAAGCGAGCCCACTGTGGTGCTGCTGACCTGCCAGGGCCGACTGCCCCGCACAGTGACTTGGTGTGTTCATGGCCACAGGAAGGTGCTGTGCGTCCGTACGTCCCTAAACACTTTGCAAAACACAGCTGTAGGCTTGTGCACTTACCTAAAGGCGTTTGGGGCTCAGTGATAATGTCTGCTTTCTGCCCTTGCTGTAGGTGCCAGGGAGGATCCCACAGCCGTGCCGCCAGTATAGCGACGCACCCCCTTTGACGTTAGAAGGAATCAAGGATCGGGTTCTGTATGTCTTGAAACTTTACGACAAGATTGACCCAGAAAAGGTAACTCATGGTGGTTTCAATTTTTTGAGTATTTAATTACATGGTGTGAAATTCAGAGGGCAAAAAAGCATATTCAGTGAAAGGTCTCCCTGGCTCCCAGCCCCCTCACGCCCCCTGGAGGAGACAGCCAGTGTTGCCAGACTCTTGTGTACCCTTGCAGAGATAAGGTGTGCGTAAGAAGTGCAGTGGCAGCTCGGTTTGTGAGCTCAGTTCCACGATTTCGGTCACGCACTGAATTGGACAAGAACAGAATCAAATTTCCCCCTCGGGTCCACGCTGAACCTAACCACTGAATTTGAGTTTGTTCTTACCCAACTTGATTTACAACCACAATCATGGAAAGAAGCAAGTTTGTGAACCAAGGCCCTGCTGCACACACACACACGGCTATACATGGGTGCGTGTGTCTCTCCCACAAGACACGTCAGCAGGCTGAGGGCGGCAGTTGTAGAATGCACACTTTAGCATTTGAGGCTCTGTTTTGGTCCCCAGCAACAAAACCTACAAGTGCTGTCTACCATAAACACTTGTTCTGCCCCTTGCTTTTTTAATTTAATAACTCTTACGACTTTTATCATAGTGGTACATAAAAAAAGTTCCCCCTTTTTTTTTGGAAACAGAATGTGCAGCTCAGGCTATCCTTAAACTTGCTGTGTAGCCCAGGCTGGCCTCAAACCTGCACCGGTGGTTCCGCCTCAGCCTCCCCAGTGCTGGGACTGTAGGCGTGCTCCATCACGCTCAGGTATAAAAAGTGTCCTTCTTTAAACCAGGGCTGGTAGCACACACCTGTAATCTCAGATGCTTGGGAGACCGATGCAGGAAGATCAAATGCTTCAGGCCAGCCTGAGCAATTTAGTCTCCAAATAAAAAGCCTTCTTTAATACGTAATTGACTCTGAGCTGGGTATAGGTACACACCAATAATCTCAGCACTGAGAGAGGCTGAGGCAGGAAAACGGACTGTTCAAGTCCCACTTGGGCAATTTACTGAAACTCTCAAAATAAAAAACAGGGTAGGACTTCGGTTTGGGTTTTTTTTTGGTACTGGGAATCAAACCCAGGGGTCCAATCTACCACTGAGCTACATCCCCAGCCCTTTTCGTTTCTTGAGACAAGCTCCCACTAGGTTGTTAAGGGTGGCCTCTAACTTGTGATCAGCCCTCCTGCCTGGCCTCCCGGATAGCTGGGATTACAGGCCTGTGCCACTGTTCCTGGCAAAAGAATTTGCTTTTTATGTGGGTGTTAAAGGGTTCTTCCTGAGCTGGACGTGGTGGCGCACGCCTGTAATCCCAGCACTTAGGAGGCTGAGGCAGGAGGATCCTTGCGAGTTCGAGACCAGTTTGAGCTACAAAGTGCAAGGCCAGCCTGAAGTGCATAGTGAGACCCTGCCTCAAAAAGACCCAAAAAAAAAAAAAGAATTCTTCCTGGTGATGTGGGGGTAGGGGGCAGGATTAGGGATGGAACCTAGAACCCGGCAAGTGTTCAGTAGGCTCTCTACCATGGAGCTCCATCCTCGGCCCCTTGCTGGTGAGCTTGAGAGCTAAGTTAAAAGAAAGGTGATACAGACATTTTGTATCTGCAGCTTACAGTAGTGTGCTTTTTTTTTAATGCAGTGCAGGGCATAACTACAGGACTTCACGTGTGCTGAGCTGGTACTCTAGGACTGAACTACACCTCCACCCTACAATAGCCAGTTGGGTTTTCTGTTTTTTTTTTTTTTTTAAAGAGATAGGGGCTTGCTATCTATTCCAGGCTGGCCTTGAACCTCGCAGCCTCCTGCCTCAGCCTCCTCAGTGCTGGGATGATAGGCATGCTCCACCACTTCCAGGTTCAGTCTTCTACTTTTGAGGGGGAGAAATGCCACATGTAAGGTGTGGGCTCTCAGTTGTCAGTAGGGCAGGAAGAAAACTAAACTCTCTTAGATGTCATGTGTAACAGTGATTAAAGCCCATAGTAAAAGATGTGCTGGGTGTGGTGGCACACACCTCTAATCCCAGCACTCAGAGGCTGAGGCAGGAAGATTGCTGTGAGTTCTAGGCCAGCCTGGGCTACATAGTGAGTTCAAAGATAGCCTGTAGCAAGACCTTGTCTCAAAACAAAACAAAACACCATAGTAAATGATGTGATGTGAATTCCTTCCTCATTAGGTTGCTTTATGTTATTAACCACTTCAAAACAAAGTTGAACAAAGTAACACAAAATGCACCTCAGGCATGCCAGCATAGGTTAAATATATAATGGTAGGTAAAGCCTCTGTATTTTAAAAAGAAATCTAACTGGGTGTGGTGGCACGCAGTTGTCATCCCAGCACTTGGGAGGCTGAGAGTTCAGGACCACACTTGACTACTTAGTGAGTTCAAGGCCAGCCTGGCCTGCTTTAGTGAGACTGTCTCCATAGGACAAAGCAACCTGTATGCCGATGAAGTGGCACTGCACCTGTGTTGGCAAGGAAATGCTCTCACACGCTAAATTTTGTTTGGCGTTCCTTTCTTGCAGCTCTCGGTAAACTCCCATTTTATGAAAGACCTGGGCTTAGACAGTCTGGACCAAGTGGAGATTATCATGGCCATGGAGGACGAATTTGGTAACATACACGGGCGTAATCCTACATCTGCATGTTGTGGTTCTTAACTCCGGTGGATTAACGGAAAGGGGTGCTGGGAGTCTGAACTGAAATCAGGTCTTACTGGAAACGGCATCCACTCCCTGCAGTGTACACACCCGCCACCCGCTGTCAGGGACCGTAAGGCTGGGCAGCCCCGCTCCGCAGAGCCCACTGTGGGGCGGCGCTGAGGGACCAGAGGGGGCCGGGAGGGGCGCGGGGCTCAGGTTCCTGAGGCGGCGTCCACCGTGGAGGGCAGAGCCTCACCGGGCACGATGCTGACGACACAGCCCCTCACGCTGCCCCGGCCCTGGCAGCATCAGCTCGGTACAAATGGCAGCTTGTGCGAAGACACACACAGCCCACCCCGCGGCCGTGTCTCGCTCAGTGCCTTCCGTGCGTGCTCCAAGCTCTCCGCTGGGCACTGTTGTGCAGATGAGATCTTTCTAAAAACCGCTTGGTTTACTTCTGGGTGAGCTGCTTGAACAGGGAGCAGAGGGACTTCGGTGCCACCCTACAGGGCACGACTTAGTTCGCCGCTGTCCGCCGGGGGGTTGAGAGCGGCAGGTCCGGTTGGCGCGCGGCCACGCGTGAGCCCGAACAAGTGACCGTCCCCTTTCCTCAGCTGTGAGATGAGGGTGACGGGGCGGGAACAGATCGAGAGCGCTGTGAGCATGGAGGAGCCTATGTGTAAAATAATGCTGACCCCGAGTTAGCGTTCAGTACCTGGTAACTATCAAAACCCAGCCTGCCGTAAAAAGGAATAGAATACGGTACGTAACAGGAGAGCCCTGAGAACACGCGAAGTGAGAGGAGCCAGTACAGAAGGCCACACCGCGTGACCCTAGGCACACGCAATGTCGGGAGGCAGCAAAGGGCTGGGGCGGAGCTCGGGGTGAAGTCCTGGGTTCGGTCCCCAGCGCCCCAAACAGCCTGAAAGGTAAATCCAGACAGGCGGGGCCTGTGCTTGCCCGGACGGGACGCCGTGGGCCCGACTACGCTGGGCACCGGGTTTCTTTTCGGCTGGGTGGGGATGTTCTGGGGGTTGGGGTTAGTGTACTGCACAGCCACGGGGCTGTGCGCTTTAAGAGGAGGAGCTGTCTGTCCTAATTGTGTTTGGAAAAAAACGCTCACTGGCTCACAACCTCAATGGGACTCCAGGTTGCGGGGCAGTTCTGACACAGCTGTGGGTGTTCCGGAAGGGTCGGGTGTTGTCAGTCTGAAGGGCATGCTTTGTACTATCACATCCTATTTTTTTCCCTTTAGGGTTTGAAATTCCTGATATAGATGCAGAAAAGTTAATGTGTCCACAAGAAATTGTAGATTACATTGCAGATAAGAAGGATGTATATGAATAAAATACCAGGTAAGCAATCTGATTTGCAGAATTAATGTCTAGTTATTCAATAAAGCCAAAGTTTAAAAGAAAAATAGGAATGCTAGGCAGAAGTTTTCACTAATTGTAAAACACAGACTGCTTCCACTTACCGTCTCTGCCCCTTGCCGGTACCACCCTGTGATGATCCCCACTCTAGATGGGCCTGGGGACAGTCATTCCTGGGCAGGAGGAGGGTCTGACACGCAGTACCGAGCAGGGTGACACAGAAAGCAGACCTCGCCCCGACCCTCCCCGCTCAGTCTGGCCCTGTCGGGGAAGTTGAGAAGCCTGGCTTCTCCTGAGGCAGGGCGGCCTCCCGGGGGAGAGGGCGGCCCTGCGGGTCAGAGACCCAGGTCTGCCCTCGGCTGCGCCGCCAGCCTGGTGGCGTTGGGCGGGCTGCTGAGCCCTCAGGGCCCCTCTCCTGCCAGGCAGCACTAAGAGCAGCGCTCGGCGGGGCTTTTGAAGCTGTGGGAGCAGTGTGTGTGCACTGCCCGACGTGCAGCCTCAGTGGGCGTTAGCTGCACTCAGGCTCCCGGACCACCAGGGGGCAGACGTCTGAAACGAGCACAGCGTCTTAACGGGCGCACTTAGGAGTCACTAACTGCACAACAAAAGCCAACACTGAACTTGCTTTGTTCTCGTCAGACCCCTTCGCACAGGGCTCCAGGGACGCTGGGGACCGGAAGTGAGAGTGTGGCCTGTCATCACCACACAGAGCAACTCTGTCGGACTTATATTTAAGCTGTCTTGTTTTGCCCTTTGAAAATAAACGGGTTAAACCAACATTTTTCTTACGCTTTCTCAGTGTTTATAAACGGCCTTTCTATACTGATGCTGCTTAGTGTTTTAAGAATGGATCTGAAAAAACTGATCTGTCGTTAATATTCACTCACCCAACTTTGCCAAGAGTTTCTCTTCCTGCTTTCAGTATAAGGGACACATGTGTCCGTGAACAAAGAACTTTCTACTCCATAAGCCACTGTTACCACATGCTACCAGCTGATAGTATCTGAAACTAGGTTTTTCATCTCTGACCTAAGGATCCCTTTCCCTTTTCTTGTTGTTTTTTCAGTTTTTAGGTTTTTTGCTTTTTTGAGACAGGGTCTCAATGTGTAATTCAGGCTGGCCTTGAACTCATGGTGATTCTCCTGCCTCAGCCTCCCTTGTCCTGGGATTATAGGCTCTATCTTAATAGAATTTAATAGTTTGGGAAGTTAGGAGGCTCTTTCCTTTTGGAATGTCAGCTTGGCATTATGTCCCTTTGTGACACATCAGTATTGATTGTGCCTCTGTTATGGTTTGTGTCTGGGTGTCCCTCCAAAGACACATGCAGGGCTGGGGATATAGCTCAGCAGCACAGCGCCTGCCTGGCAAGCACAAGGTCATGAGTTCAATTCCCAGTACGGGAAGAAAAACAACAAAAAAAGAAAAAAACAAAGACACATGCAGTCGTGGGGGTGGCTTTTAGAGGTTAGGAATGATTCATGGGTGTGAGTGCTACACCCGCCCTGAGGTGGATAGTTTGCATACAGTGTAGGGAAAGGCTGCTTGCCAGCACGCCTCCCTTTTTTCCCTTGTTGCTATCTTCCGCCATGGTGAACTGTTGCCCTCTGCCATGTGCCACCCTGCCTTGGAGCCAGCGGAGCATGGACTGAAACCTCCACAAACTGAGCTAAATAAACCTTTCCTTCTGTAATTTTGGGTGTCAGGTATTTTGTCTCAGTAACGACAGAAAAGTAACCAAGACAGCCTCTTGTATTAGTGCTGTTAGTCCCTTGGGGTTGGTAGGTAACACGCATATGTTCCCTAGGTGTTGGTAACACTTAGCTCGTCGTGTTACAAAACGACTGCTTTCCTTTTACTAAAATTTCCAGTTTGCAGGACAGCGGCACTAAGGGCGGGTACTAGGTGTCACGAGGCCAAGGAGCTGCGCTGAGGCTCCTTCAGGAGACAGAGCCCTGTGGCAGAGGGGTGACACGGTAGAAAGGTGGGGGTCAGCCTTGGGACCGGGTGCCCTCACAACCCCTTCTCTTCCCCAGGTGCCCCTCAAGTTAGCCACAGCCTGTTGGGTGTGCTCCCTTCTTTCTGACAATGGAAGACATTTATTGTTATGCTGTCCTTTTTGTCCCCTTAATATTTAAAAAGATACCCTGGAAAACTAAGTGTAAGGAACTCCCTTGTTCCTTTTCACGGCTTTTTTTTTTTTTTTTTTTGAGACAGGGTCTTGTGTAGTTCAGGTTGGCCTTGAACTCAGGCATCCTCCTGCCTCAGCCTCCCAAGTGGTGGGATTACACGTGTGCACCACCACGCCCAGGTCACAGCTGCATTTACACCTCGAACAGGCCGAGTGCTTGCTGGGCATCAGGACACAGTAAGAAACCATCAGGCTGTGTGTGGCTCCTGCGACTGAAATGTAGCCTGGGTTAACGTCTGGGGCATTGCAGCGCTATTCCTCTGCACTGTGCCTTAAAATCCCGAGGCAGTGCAACGTCTTGCCAAAGAATGTGTGGGTTCTTTCTGCCCGAGGCCACTCGGTCTGGCGGTGCTGCCGAGGTAAGTGCCTTGCTAGTCCAAACCGCGTCCCTGCGGTGCCGTGCGCTCACCCTCCACAGCTGGCGGGGCGCCGTGGGGTGGTTCCCTGTCACCTGGCGTTGGCCCCGCCCGCCACAGAGGACTCCCTTCTTGTTTCCTGTGGTGCCCCTGGTGCCTAAGAAGCACGCTGGAGCCGGGAGGAGGAAAAGCACTCAATGGGCACACCGCCAGGGTCCGAGCGCCCAGACAGCAGGGACTGAGCGCACCCTGCATGCTTCTGGGGACTTCCGTGACACGCTGCGCAGGTAGCAGACTGGCCAGGTGTAGTGTTCCAGAGAGCCGGGAAGCAGTGGTGTACGTGTGGGCCTAAGGGCCGCTGCGGTCCTGTGTGTCCACAGCAGGCCTCTCCCTTTGTGAGTGGCTTGTGAGCCTAGCCGTTGCCCTGCACCTCCAACTCAGTCACTTCGCCTTTTCAGCACGCCCCCAAAGAGCAGGTATATTCACCCCAATGGGAGTGGTGCACAGCCGACGTCAAGGGGCTCGCTGCCTGCTAAGGGACAGCCCGTGTGACCGTGTCCCAGACAATGCAGGAGCCACCCGTGCGGCCCCACGGGTGCTGCAGGGAGGACATGTCACGTGAAATACTGACTGCCGAAATGCTGTATCTGACCCGACCTCGAAGGTGGGATAGTCTGTAAAGCCTGGATTTCTATGTCCCGAAAAAAGCGACAACGTAACCACTCAACGTTAAAGACCTATTCTCAGGAGACACATACTCAATGTTTAGGAACAAAAGAGTATCTTGGTTGGCTTTTAAATGTTTCAGGAAAAAACTTAAACTGCTGGTAACTGATCTGTTGATGTATATGTGAGTTCCTAGCACCAAAAAAAACAAAAACAAGGGCAGTATTTTTCATTTTTTTGAGACAGGTTCTCAGAACCGTTCAGGCTGGCCTTGAACTCATGGCGATCCTCCTGCTTCAGCCTCCCAAGTATTGGGATTACTGGCATGCATCACTATGCCCAACCCCTTTACAAAAGTGTTAATGTTCATTACTGAGGTATGACAGATACGAAGGGCTTGTTTTTGTTGCTCTAGGTAATGTCTAATAAATGCAAAATAAGCTGGGTGTGGTGGCACATGCCTATAATCCCAGCACTCAGGAGGCCATGGCAGGACTGCGGGTTTGAGTATTCACCTGACGCCCAGGCTTAGTGATGATGGCTATCCCGTTCATGTTTCTGGAGGCAGGAGTGACAGGCCGATAAAAGCCGCACCTGGGATTTTCACTGGAACTCTTGGGTAGAAGAAGTTCTTTCCTATGGGGCTGCTAGTCTGGAGGGCTGTGAAGTCAGCAAAGAACAAAGCAGAGCCCGGAGTTAGACGGACAGATGCCTGACAGCCTGACTGCGCACCTCCTCAGACTGGGTCTGACACTCAGGGTTTTCTAGCAACGTAAGCCAGGTCCCTCCCTGTGCCTAAGCTACGTGAGCTCAGTTCGTCACCATGGCCGGGATGCTCCTCCATCACCGAGCCCTGGAGTCCGAGTCTGAGCTCGGGTGTGGAGCAGAGCCACAGTGAAGGCTGGCTGAGACCAGCTGGCGGCTGGACTGCCTCCTCAGGCCCCAGCCACGAGAAGCAGGACAGGCAGAGCAGCTTCGGAGACGGGAAGAAGGCAGGCGTCACAGTGAGAAGATTAAAACTGCACAGGGTGAGTGTCTGGGGATGTGGCTGAGTGGCACAGCACACGCACTGGCCTAGCATGGATGAGGCCCTGGGTTCAATGCTGTTTTGGGGTGTGTATTTGTACACAAACATATGGGTAAATTACTTGCCTTTAAGATAAGAAAGCCAAGGGGCTGGGGATTTAGTTGGGGCTGGGGATTTAGCTCCGCGGCAAAAGCGCCTGCCTGGCAAGCACAAGGTCGTGAGTTCCGTTCCTGGTACCAGAGAAAAACCAAAAAAAAAAAAAGATAAGAAAGCCAAGACTAAAAAAAAAAATTCTGGCCGGGCATCGTGGTGCACACCTGTAATCCCAGCACTCAGGAGGCTGAGGCAGGAGGATCATTGTGAGTTCGAGACCAGCCTGGGCTACAAAGTGAGCTCAAGGCCAGCTTGAACTGTGTAGCGTGACCCTGTCTCAAAAAGACAAAAAAAATTCTGGGGCAGGGGATGTAGCTCAGCAGTACAGCATCTGCCTGGCAAGCATGAGATCCTGGGTTCAATTCCTGGCACCAAAAAAAAAAATTTCTTAGGTGGGACAGCGGTACTGTAGTAAAACACCCTTCTTGGGAGATGCGTGCTAAAGTACCTACAAGTGAAGATTCATAGTATCTATATCTCAAATATTTCAGAACAAGAGGTGTGTCTGTCTAGAGAAAGCAAAGATGGTAACATTTTAACACTGACAAACCTACGTGGAAAGTACAAAAATGTTAAAAAATAAAGCATATTTCAGCTTTCTGTAGGTTTGAAAATTTTCCAAACAAGGGGTAAAAATGGAAGGTGTATTTAAGGGGAAAAAGGGTAAAAATAGAAGTGACTTAAGTTCAGAGTTGTAACAGCAAGAGAAAAAGGCTTCAGAAAAAGGTAGCCTTGGTAAACGACACAAAGCCAAACACAGATCGACAAGGCAGGGGAGTCTGGGGCAGAATTCCCAGCGAAGGCAGCCAAGTGCGGGGGCAGTGGTCTGGGTGGGAGCGTCTCCTGCCTGCCCGCGGCCCCGAGCAGAACCACCCAGGCGAGGGCGGGGAGGACGGTGACCTCCTGCCCCAAAGCCTGTCGTCTGGCTGCTGGGTCTCCAGTGCAGAAAAAGGACTTTCTCAAAGCACAGAATATACCAGACGTCTCTCCACAGAAGGGGGACACGTGCGTACTGGAGTTCATGTCCATCTCCAGCTGACGAGACACACTCATCCTGTTTTAAATTGTCTGAAGGAACTGCTCAGAGTTGGGATGAAATCCGGAAGAATCATCAGAACAGAAGACACTCTAGGAAGCATCAGATGTACCCATGCGGCACAATGCTCTGTCCTCTCCCGTGCAGCAGTGCTGCTTCAGGTCAGGCACATGGGAGAGCGAGCTCTCCGCTCCCCCGCCAGGAAGGGGCGTGCGCCAGAACCTTCAGGACGCTTGAAAATACAGGGAGGAGGAGAAAGGCTCTGGTGGAAGTGGTCCTGGGTCAAAACAAGTTTGGATAAACTGTTTCCATCACCAAAGATTCCTTTCTTTCCCCGTTTTTGGTAAAAAGCTCCTTCCTTCTTCCTCTTTTGTGGCATGTAGCTAGAGCTCCATTCCCATGTTCTATTAAGCACGTCCTGGAAGGCTAAGTGGTCAGTGAGGTGCAGGGGAGAGGTGCAGGGGAGGGGTGCAGGGGAGGGGTGCGGGGGAGGGGTACGGGGGAGGGCGGGCAGCTTCCCCCCCACACACGGGGGCCGGCCAGGCGCACAGGGCTGCCCGGGCAGTGGCACTGGCCCGGTGGTCACCTTGCCTGCTACAGGAACGAACCTTCTTTTCATTAGCTGTTCAGAAGAGAACAAATTGGCATATGCTTAAAGCCGAATAAAAACCTAAGCTGGCAAAAGATGGCTTCGGACAGAGCTGCACACGCTGGTCAGTGCCTAGCACGAGTGCGGCGGGGGGAGGCGCAGAAGAACCGGAAGGGGACGCCGAGTAATTATCAAACTTTAATTGATAGACTAATCTTACAGAATGAACAATAAAGACAGCTAATCAAGGTTATACTTTTTAAAAAAATCCAGCAGCGCAAATCTAATAGACTACATACGTTCTCCTCCTCCCAGACAGGCATTTGATTTCAAAACAAACCAGAACAGAGCATACACCACAAGGAAACGTGATACGTACATGTATTTGTCAAATAACTGCAGAACTCTTTCGGGAAGAAAAAGGTTGTTGGAAAGTCAGAGAGCAGGAAAACCACCCGGCCGGGCAGGTAACTAGCGGGTGTCTGCGCCCCAGGGCTCCTGACCGCCCCCGGACCTCGCAGAGGGCAGAGGCCGCTAGAGCCCGTCACAGAGGACCCGGCAGGCGACTCCGCCCTAGGCCAGGGGCCGCCCCGCCCAGGACGGCAGGCAGGAGCAAGCAAGGGCCAGGGGCGCGCTCGGCCCCCAGGCACGCGGCTGGACGGCCCGGGGCCAGGCCCTTCCGGTGGCCGTGGCAGCTTCTCTGAGCAGTGGCGGAGCTAGTCCCTTTGGCCCTTACAAGGCAGAGCAGCAACTAAGAGCCTGCTAAGGGTCTCACCTGGGCCCCATTCTGTCGACAAGATTGTAAGAAAGTGCATCCTTAACTCGCTTGAACTTCATTTAAAGAGAGCAGACACTCCCTGCAGGAGGCCTACCAGATTAGAATCCTTCAGCGCAGTGCCAGCAGCTCGCACCCTGCCCTCTGACCTGCCGGGAAGGGTGCCGCTGCCGCAGGGAGGGAGAGGGCAGGGGGGAAGCAGCGGCCCTGCGCGCAGGCAGCTCCCCCTCTGCCTCCCAGGAGCCCCTGCCACAGGGAGGGGAGCCCTGTCCCCTATAAACTGACAGTGACGAAACTGTACAGAAATAATCCTGAGGAAAAATAAACCCTACGGTGCTACCTGAAGGGAAGAGTATTTCAATTTGCTCACACAGATTTAGTCAGTAAACTCCAGACGGTCAGAAATATACAGAGACTGACTGCCCACAGGATGTAAGGACAAGATCGTGAATACTGCGGAGACCCAACGTGGATGTGAGACACTTCTCCCGCGGGCGCCTGGGGCTGTGCCTGCGCTGTCCCTCGAGCTTCCAGCCGGGCCCTTCCACGTGGCCGGGGTCAGGAGCCAGAGCTCAAGGCTGCGAGAGCAGATTCAATGAGCTCTTCCAAGCAACTTCAAACAGCTCCATACAAGGATGTCGTGTACATTATGATGTATATGTAGTATCTTGAAGTAAGGAAAAAAGCACCATTTTACTGAAAATGAAAAAGGCTCACACAGGCTTTGGTCCTCCTGAAGCGACACCAGCCTGAGTGAGCAGCAGTGTGGCTCTCGGGCGGCAGGGAGGGCACGGCACACGCGCTCGCCAAGAGGCAGGGGCGGCAGGGGTGGCAGGGGCGGCTGGGAGCCACGCAGGGAGCAAGGGAGGCTGACGGGGGCTTCAGGCCAACCTGGGGACAGAAAAACCTGCTCTGGGAGACCGAAGTGGGCGTTGGCACTGCCGGACAAGTCTTTAGGACAATGACATTGGCAAACGACAAGGGCAGTATTCAGCTGCTGCCTGACCTTCTGCAGACCTGCTCCCCACGGGAGGCCGGGACGAGTAGCCAAGATGCACTCTTCCCCCGCAAGAACCGCAGGCCACCGAGAACGGAAGGCACAAGGGCTCCTCCTTTCTCGAGGGCTGAGAACAGGCGGCTTCCTGGACGCCGGACTCCACATACGCACTCGTGCCCCAAAGAAGCAGAGTGGGTTTTCTCGCCCAGGTGCGTAACTTGGCACTGACTACACCACGAAAAGCAAGAGTCTGTCTACATGGGCCGGATTCCTGAACTACAGCTTAGAAGGGAAGGGCACAGAATATCGTCCACTGGCTCACAAGGAACAGTCGTCGTAGAGGAACACATGCTCACGGTGCACAGAACGAGGGGCCGACAGCTTAGAATCCGAGGTGTGAGGGGGGAGGATTTCTTGCCAAACCTTACTACGAGAGCCTGCGACCACGGAGAGGAGAATTGCAAAGACAGCAGCAGAGGAACAGCGAACAGCACAAAGGGTACCACCCACTGAGACTGTCCCTTATCTCAGAGTCCATCGAGTCACGAGGAGACGACAGAAGTTCACGTGTACAAAGAACGCAAGGGCTAAAACCAGAAGGTGAGCTCATCATGAAAGCAACTTATCCCACTTCTGCTGTTCGGACACCACGGGCCAACCCACCGGCCCGGAGTCTTGTCCTGACAGAGGCGGCGCCTCTGCACCTGGGATAAAGGACACTTGAACTCAAGCGGGAGCAGAAGGACCGGATGGAGCCGCAGAGCTGAAATAACCAGTGGACTGCTTAAGAACTTCTGGAAAACCTCCAAAGAAAAGCGGTCTCTGGACCTGTGGCGATATGGCTGTGTCAGTCGTCTTCCACCTGCTCGCCCCGCAGCGGGGGCTCCGGAGCAGCCCGGCGGACTCCTGAGAAGCTGGGGTCCAGAGGGCGAGACGTGCGGACAGGAGTCCCTCGCGAGCTTCGCCGCCGCTCTGCGAACCCGCGGCCAGGTGAGCGCTCCCGACCCGGCCTCGCGCCCGCCTCGCCCCCGCGCACGCCCAAGCAGCGGCGAGGCGGCCGGGCAGGGAGGCGCGGGCGAGGTACCAAAAGAGGAACTGGTGTCTTTGGGTTTTGAAAATAAAAACTCAAATCTAGGGGAAGTGAGAAAATTAACAAAGGGAGAGCATTAAATCTGAAACAATGGACAGGAAAATATGGCTTACTAAAACCCCCATTTTGCATACAATTTACATCAAGGAAGAAAAAGGAAAAAACGCCCCAACTTAGCACAACGCAGTCCAAATGCTTGCAACCAAAGATTTATGAAAATATTTCTGTTGATATGATTTTTTTAAAGCAAAAAACAGTAACACAAGCTTCTGATGATTCCCTTCTCGACATTAACTGGCAGCTCTACTCTCACACAGACTGTAGAGTATTCCACACAACAGGTTCGGAATTCAGATTTATTCATTTCCACGGTGCTGACTTTAAAAATGGTACGAAGCTGACTGCGAGAAAGGGACTGGTGATTTTAAGTTAAAATTAAGCTAATGGTGAAAGTACATCACCTCTGGCTTCAGTCACCGCATCGCCTCAGGCTGAATGGAGATTGTTTTGTGAACCAAGTTCCAGAACTCTGAAATCCAGGGTGCTGCAGGCCTCTCCCACAACGTCCTTCGCTTTGGGTCAGTCTCCTGGGCCAGAGGTGAAAGTGCTTTCAAAAATACTGCCACTTGCCCAGCACAGTGTCTTTGATTGCATCCACATACTGCGTCGGGACCCAGTACACCCAGTAGTAAGAGGCCTCCGTGGGGCCCAACTGAAACGCCTGGAAGGGAGGAGGAGACCAAGCGGAGGTTCAGAGGCGGCGACCACACAGGCAGAACGCGAGCACGGGGAGGGCGGGAGGTGAGCGCACTGAACAGCGTCCGGTAGCTGTGCACATCGCAAGCGTTTGCTCACAATTCAAAAACAAACGGAGTTCAGCATAGCCAACCTCAGTGCAGCAACTCTCAAACCTGATGCACATCAGACCCACGGGGAAGCCGGGCGTGGTGGCGCACACCTGTAATCCCAGCACTTGGGAGGCTGAGGCAGGAGGACCATTCCAAGTTTGAGGCCAGCTACAAAGTGAGCTCAAGGCCAGCCTGAACTGCACAGGAGACCCTGTCTCAAAAGGACAAAAACCAAACCCAACCCAGGCACAGGGCTGTGGAAACAGAGGTTTCAGCTGTGGTCTGACTGGGGCAGGTAGGGTGGGGCCTGACAAGCTGCCTCCAAGCTCCCAAGGGCTGCAGCAGGGCCCACCTGGACACTGCTTTGAGAACCACCGGCCTGGAAAACCTGTCACACGCGCATAAGGAAACAGGTCCTCAAAGCACCACTGTCCCACGTGACAAAGTCCTGTCCACAACCTACGCGTCCGTCGCTAAGGGGATGTGCAACTCCAAGTGGGGTGGCGCACACTCACACGAGCACCAGAGTGCGCCGACACAGGTACGAAAGGCAGACCCTCACGGGCCTGGAGGGAAACCTCACATCACAGCGTGGAGGCAAGAGCAGCAGGCGGCAGCAAGGCGCACACGCCGCCCTCGGGAGAACTGGAGAAACGGCACCACCTGGGCTTGTCTGCAGACGTGAACGCGCGCAGACGGCAGCACCTACAGAGGAGTGGGAGCGGGAGGGGCACGCACTGGGGACGTCGTCACCGCGGCTAAGTCGTATTCTTTGTGTAAAGAAGACCCGGAGCAAGTTACACAGCGCTCACAGCCGTCGCTTCTCGGTGATGGGTGTACGGTTATCGTGTTCTGTCCTGTCCTGTGTTTTTCAGAACGTGTCTCTAAAAGTGAGAGCACACGGCCACCTTTCTCTAACTGAACTGTGCCACGCTGATCCAGCTAAACAAATGGCAGCTACAAGAAGAGAAGAAAATACTCTCACCAGGACAAGGGGAAACACTAGTTATAGCGTTCAAAGGGGGCGACTGGGACCACTGGCAGAAAAGGCTCCGGGGAGAAACGAACGTTCAGACTAAACGCTAAGTCCTCACCCGCGCACACCAACTCCTGAGAGACACCCAGGCTGCCGCCCGCAACTCGCCTGGCCCTATCATCAGGCTGCCGCAAAACTAGGGCTGCAAATCCTACAGAAGTACACTGTTCACACAAATGGGTTTTGTTTTGGCTTGTCTTTTTGAGACAGTCTCACTACCTAGTTCAGGCTGGCCTTGAACTTGCAAAGATCCTCCTGCCTCAGCCTCCCGAGTGCTGGGATTCCAGGTGTGCACCACCACGCCCAGCTCACACAAATGTTTTAAAAGAGTAAGTGGCCCAGCTAACAATATTAAAATCCAACTTATATTAAAACAGAAAAATAACAGGCCGAACAAAGCTGCCTGCAGTCTTGTTTTAAAGACTACAGGAAGGTTACAGGCAGAGGGACCGCCTGAGGAGGACCAGTGACATTCTCTTCACTGCCAGGGAGGAAGTCCAGGCGCCTACCACTTGGGCACCACAATCCCAATCAACGCCTTCCTTTAGCCTCAGCAAACTGACACGCTGACAGGGCTGGAGCCCGCCACGCTCCGGTCTTTCTCACAACGAGGGGATCTCCCGACATATCCCTCTGCCGTGCGCTTTGCAACACCCATGTACAGGTCACGCTGCTTCCTGTTTCTTGGGATGGGGCTGACACAGCTGCACTGCTTATGACAGGATGCAGAAAAACCTGCCTCCTCAGAGGGAGCACGAAGACGGCCCCAACCCCACAGGATCGCTATTTCCGATCCAGTATAACATTTTTGAGTTCTGAGTAACTTAGGAGTTTAGGTAGGTAAACTTCACTTTTAAAGTGCTCTCCAGAAAGCGCTAGGAAAGACAGCTCTGCCTAAGCTGCTGCTCGTTTCTAGATCACTGAACTCCTTGCTCTGTTCCGTGTGGACCTGCAGGGCCTCCACACGTGCTGTCCACTGTGCAGAGCAAAGCTCCGGGCAGAACAGATGCGCCTGGGATCTGTCCTCGCCACAGGGTCCCGGCCACGTGACAGGCACAGCCTGGGACGAGCAGGACCACTACAGAAGAGCGACTGCCTGAGGTCTTTGAAACACCAAGGCCTGGGGGAGGAGGGGTCTCTATTACCCATGACAAAATATAAAATGAAAATCCACATGCCATTCTTCTTAATTTTCCTGGTCTAAAAACAAGTCAGATGCGTAAGAAACATTTTTGAAGAACGGCAAGGGAAAACACACCCTTTTAAACTACAGGTGGGCAGGGCGAGGCGGGCTGTTGCAAGATGAACAGAACACAGAACAAGGTCATGAAAACACGAGGGTCTCAGATACTCCCCCTACCCCTTTTTTTTGAGACTAGGTCTTGCTACGTAGCCTAGGCTAGCTTCAAACCTGTGATCCTCCCGCCTCAGCTTCCCAAGTGCGAGGATTACAGGCATGCGCCACTACACCCGGCTCCTCCTTAAAGAAGTTTTTTGGAGACCACATGCTCGCTTCAATTAGGACAGCTCAATCGCAAAGCCACCCCCGCCAGGTAAGCAGAAGCAGAGGCCTGGCCCGGCGAGCCCGGCCTGAGTACTCACCATCATGTGGTAGTCTTCGTGTCCTTCGATAGGCTCACTGACCACATTTTTAATGGAGCCCATGGGCAATTTCTCAGTCCGTTCTAGATGGAGAGGGAGGACAGTGGTTACTCCAAAGTCTTCCTGTTCTCACTCCTGCCTCGGCAGCCCCTCCCTCATCAGGCCGGGGTCTACAGTGAACACCTGACTGGCACCGCCCTCTAACGAGCGTGGGCACCACCTTCCGATCAGTGCGTCCGATCCCTGCTTGGGAAGTGCGGACCTCAGGAGTGAACAGGAACTGGCAATGAGACGTAAGGGCTGAGCGCAGACACAGATCCTGCCCATTAGCAGCTGTTTTTCTTCTGTGTGTGTCTGCAAGTGCGCTTCCCCTCGTGTTAGTTTGTAAAGTCTGAGATTAATAACCACCCAAGGAATTCCTTTATACCCTCACTGCCCAAGGCCAAGCATTGGCTAAGGTCCTGGACACCTAGAATACAGAGTCAAGAGCCCACAAACAAAGACGCAGCAGTGCTCCCCTGCAGCTCTCACAGGCGGGGGTGATCCTGCTGCTTCCGTCTCCCTCCTTCCCCGCACCCTGTGCAGGGACACATTGTACAGAGTTCTTTCAAACACTGATAACCTCACGTGACTGACACTGGAGATGCCGCTAATCACATGCGGCTAGAACACATTTTGCAGCAAGTTTAAGGGTGCTGGGTAAGAAAGAGGCGGCGGTGCAGGATGCTTGCAAACGAGGCGGCTGAGCATGAGCCAACTGCAGGACTGCTGTGAGGGCGGGGCGGGCTCCCGCACCTTAGGAAATCCCCCAGAGGCAGCAGACACCTGAGGCGCAGGCAGGCATTTCTCTGCAAACAGTTAAACCGAAGTCAAAGACTCATTACAGCCTCTGCAGAAAAGAAAATCTGCAAAGTAGGGTGTGGAAACAGGTAAGCTGCCAAACAGCCTTGAATTCAGAGACCTGGGCTCCAGCCTAGCAGAGGACATTAGACAACTGAGCTCCATTTCGGAGCGCTGGGTCCCTAAACACGGCAACCTGGAGGGAGGGGCCTGAGGGTGCTCGCTCGGGTTTACCCTTTTCGTGGCTACAGGTGGGACAAGATCGACAGCTGTCTTCAAGACTGAAACTTCTGCAGGGCGTGGTGGTGCACGCCTGTAATCTCAGCCCTTGGGGGCATGAGGATCACCATGAGTTCAAGGCCAGCCTGGACTGCATAATGAGACCCTGTCTCAAAAAGCCAAGACAAAACACAACACCCTGAAACTTTCAAAAACTACTAGCTTGAAATGTCTAGAGACCTCACATAAAGGTACAGATAGATGTCTGGCTTCGTTTGGAAACTCCAGACTGGGCGCTGCTGGGCCCACTCCAGCACGGCGGCAGTGAGGGTCTCCAGTGCACCTGCTCTGCACGGAGATCTGCTCTGCAACGAGCTCCAACGCTCCCACAGTAAGGCACAGGCCTCCGGGAAGCTGCGGGGCCTCCTGGCTGCGGCCCCGAGACGGTGCGAGTGTCTTCCACACAAGGCAGCGGAGCGAGCCTAAGCTGGGAGAAGCAGCCCTGGAGGGTCACTTACACCAGGAAACCAGGAAGCCGCCAGGACGGTGGCGCCACAGCAACTTCTCGCCAGTGGAGAGGCGAGGCCAGTGCTCGCAGCCGACCCACAGCCAGCTGTCCTTCTCCAAGCACTTCTGACGCTTGGGTGACAGGACGCCGGGGCAGGCGTGAAGGGCACCGCACCCTGGGCAGCTGAGGGACAGGGACAAATGCTCTAGACGGGACGGAAGTGCTCAGCCTCGGTCAGGCCTGGAAGGTGTGAGCAGTCTGAAGCTAAGTGAGGACGAAGGCTCGTAGGAGCTGAGGAGTCCAGCGCATCAAGCTACTTCGAGAGCTCTGCCCTGAAGCCTAAGCACAAGGCCGCGGCTCCCAGAAGAGGAACGGAAACCTCCACTGTCCAGGCAGGCGGTCCTCAGCAGGTCAGTCCCTGCGCTTACTGTGTTTCCTATCACAAAAGCACTCCCCGAGGACCCAGCGAGCACACAGACGCTCGGGCTCCACCCAGACCCTGCCTGCACCATCCTCCTGGGCACCACCGCCCTGCATCAGCCTTGGCAACCGCCTTCAGCTGGGCTGCCCGCAGCAGCAGGAGAACTCTAGCAGAGGCAGAAGCCTGCGTGCTTCAGCAAGTGAATGCAGTGGCGGAGAACAGGGCAAGATCACTTGTAAAGCCAACAGAGAGGCAGGGCAGCTAGTGCGGAAAGGAACGGGGGAACAGGCTCTGCGGAGAACAATCCTCTTGTGCACGGTTCAGAGGCCTTTGGGAAAACTGGGGAAACCCTTAGAAATTTGCAGAACCTGCACCGACCGTGCGGTAGAGTTGAATGCACCTTGAAGAATGTAGCGCATTACCGTGAAACGGCCGGAGGACTCAAGCGCTTTCGGCACTGCAGTCTGGCCACTGTAAGAACCAGCACAGAGCTGGAAATGAGAGATTTCTGCGTTCTAAAGTTTTCACGTGTGAGATGAAAATCTCACGCCCCGCCACCCTCGCCCCAAGGTGTACTCTCGGTCACGCTGCGGCCCGTGTTGAGTGGAGCCGCGCTACACGGCCTCTGTCCCTGAAGTCGGCCGCCGCACGACGCCAAGAGCCCCTATGCTTCTCTTGAGCATTTACCTCGGACACTGAATACCTACAGTGCTGGCCCGAAACAGGTGAATTACGCATGTTCGGTTCCCTCCGGGAATCTGACGGGGACAGACAAGTCAGAGAGTAATGAGTGCTCTGGGGAGGTGAAGGGGGCTCCAGGAAGAGAAGCGGCAGTTCACGGGGGCTACCGGGGAGGGCTTCGTTAGGAGAGGGCGCCGAAGGGCTTCGGAAGAGTTTATTAATACCGAGGAACGGGAAGAAGGCATTCCAGGGGAGGACGCGGCAAGAGCAAAGACGCGAAGCTGTGTGAGCACGGGCTGGCCGAGGTCGCCAATGCAGCGGAACACAGCGGACAACAGGGCAGGCGGAGCAGGCAACAGTTCCAACGGGGCCCCTGCTGAGAACAGAGCACCGCGTGGAAGCACCTGAACGCGGCGGGAATGAGCCAAGGGCTGGAGCCCAGGAACCGCTGACAAGCAGCAGAATGGCAAATGAGTGACGGAAGACACACAGGCAGAGGAGCCGACATGCTTTTCACGCATCACACTTGGAAGACGCGGTAGCCTGACAAACTAAGGGGCACAGACGCTTCTGGAACGTAACGGTCTAGGGGGAAGGAGGAAGAGGACGGTCAGAGGCGTTTCCCAGCAAACAGCAGGCCGACCAGACGCTGTGCACAGGTGCTGGTGGTGAGACATGCAGTCAAGCGGGGAAGCAAGGGCAGTGATCAGGAGAACAGCACCCAGCACACGGCCAAGGGACCCAGAGGGGACAGGCAGCTGGGAGACCGAGCGAAGCAGACTGCAGCAAGCAGAGGGCCGCGCACGACGGCACGGCCCCGCGGGAACTACTCGGCCCTCGTTCCTTGACGCCACGTGAGAACGCAGGCCCACATGACCAGGTATTTTATCTTTCTAAAGAGAAGCCAAACCAAAAATACATAAATAAAAAACCAGAATGAAATCTCTGATTTTTGCAAATTGTGTACAGAGCCATAAAACCCTTGCCTAGGGACCAGACCTGACCCTCCGGCCACGTGTGGGACCTCTGGTCTCGTGTACAAATGAAGAGTCCATGTTCTGATGGCTGGGCCCTGAGATCGGACTGAAAACAATGCAGGAGGAAGGTCCAAACAAGAGGCAAGCATCTAACAGCAAATTCGAAAGGCAGAAGCACACACAGCACAGTGGACAGAGAGGCTTCCGGAGGAGATCCGCACGCAGAAGCGAGTGCGGCCGGGTGCGGCGCCGGCGGCGCGCTGGGAGGAGCGTGGCGGGACGGGGTACCTTTAGTGCCGATCCACAGCTGGTCTTGTTCTAGCTTAAAAGTGAGCCGCACTTTTCCTCCAGACTTATTGTACATGCCGGACAGAGGTACCGCAGGCAGGCGCTCCTGGAGGTACAACACCACGGTGAGAGATAAAGGGGCACTGGGGCAGAAAAGGAGAAGGGACAGACTCACAAACACAACTGCGGGAATCTCAACGCGGAACGAGTTCCTTTTCAGACACTCGCCAAGAATTCAACTCACCTGGACACCCTTAACAGAAGGCATCACATCTTCAGGTTTTCCTTTATCCAACACTTTCCTGTGTTGCTATAAATCAGAAGAGATCATTAGGTGAAACAGCTATGTCTTAGGCATGCTGCTGTATCTCTCTCAAAGACAGGATGAAGAAAGCCTGCCAAGCTCTGGGACTAAGGCTTTTAGTGTCCATGACCCTGCAGATGGGCGCCGCTCTGCTCGTCTCTGTGAGGACGAGAGGTGCTTCCTCCGGTCACAGCAGAGACACTGCTTGTGCTGTGACTGCTCTGCATGGGAGACGTGGCCAGTGAGGCCGGGGGCTGAGCGCTTCGCTTCACTTTACTTTTCATCAGCCACATACAGCTGCTCTATTAGCTACTACAGGTCTAGGGCAAGGAGAGCTCCTCGTCTGCTAATTCAAACACGCCCCTCTCCTCCCAGCAGGTCACCACTCGAAGGGTTAAACGATCACGCTGAAGAGAGCCGCGCAGGGCACTGCTCTCCCGGAAGGCGGGAAAGGACAACAACACTTGTCAATTTAAACTCCCAGAGAGAACTACGAGATTTTGGTAACCAGCCTAACTGCCCAGAAAGGACGTTCCTTTAACAAGTGAAGACCCAGCCCAGCACAGAAGTCTTCCCACTGCTCCACCCTCAACCCGCCACACAGAGAAGCTCTACCCTGACGTTCAGAAGTCTTTAACCCTGTTTCGGCTCCCACCCCCACCCCAGGACTCCAGGGTGGCCCATCACGGCCCCTTACACAGCTCTCTTCCCTGGCCCGAATGCCTGAGTCCCATCCTCCCTCCCCTCAACTATGGCTTTACAGGTTCAGTAACTGCTTGGCAAAGCTGGAACTAGGGTGCAATAAACGGACAGAAGGTAAAAATTTAGTCAACCTTGGACACCAGGAGAGGCCTGAGCCAACACAACCGCTTACTGGCTAGGCAGAACCATCGAGCAGAAATGAGCTCAGCACTGCCAGAGTGCGAACGGAAGGGTCACCCTACACATCAGCCCCAGAGTCCCCGACAGGCGGTTACAAAGCCAGGAGACTGGATCTCATTCCTCATAATAACTGGCAGCTCCGGGGCAAAGCAGCTCAGGCTGGAGACAATCTGAGCCAGAACTTTCAGTACCTTTTGAAGATTTTCCCCTGCTCTGCAGAGAAAGGTTCTAAGCCTGTGAAGCTACCATTAGTGACTCAAAACCTGTACTTATGAGGCGGGCTATGCTCTGGGTATGACCAGTGAGGCTGCTCACTGCCATCTATTCACACATGCAGGAGGAGAAAGGGAAACAGAGATGAACGCAGTACACTACAGGATAACATGACCCGGTACTTGGAGGGGAGGGTGACACTGTCCAAATGAACACCTTCTACACGTTAAAGTACACTGATAATCCTTCAGCTAAAGCTCTGTGGACAGAGGCTGGGGAGTATAGCTCAGTAACAAAGAATGTGGTTAGCATGCAGGAGGCCCTAGGTCTGACGCTCAGCATCAAAATTAAAAAACATAATGAAAAAACCCCACAGACAAGGGCTGAAAATGGATTTCAGTGATACAGTGCTTGTCTAGCATTGTGAGACCCTCAGGTCAAACTCCCCAGCACTACCAAACAAACGAACAAAAAACCCTTAAGAATACTGTTTTAGACTTAAGCATTTCAGGAGTTCTGTAAAAACAATATAGTTTGCCAGGCATGGTGGCACACCCCTGTAATCCCAGCACTTGGGAGGCTGAGGCAGGAGGAGCGTTGTGAGGTGGGAGACCAGCCTGGGCTACAAAGTGAGCTCAGGGCCAGCCTGCTGAACTGCACAGCAAGACCCTGTCTCAAAAAACAAACAACAAAAAAAGACAAACAAAAATATAGTTTTAAAATACATATTACATGAACCAGGTGTGAAAGCATGTGCCTGTAACTTTAGCACTCTGGGAGACTGAGGCAGAAGAATTGCAAATTCTAGCTCATCCCAGGCAATTCAGCAACTCAGTAAAACCTTGTCTCAAACATTACAAAGAGCTGGGGATGCAGCTCAGCAGCAAGGCCCAGAATTCAAAGTTCAATCCCCAGTATCTATCTATCCATGTATTTCTCTTATTCTTTCTCTCTCTCTCTCATACATACACACACATGAATATCCTCAATGCAGTCTAGGACAGCAACTAATCAACAAAAATGCTGATGTGCGTGTAGCAAACATTTGAGTATTCATGCTAATTCTGGCTAGGTTGTGCCGCTGAACTTATGAAAACACTTGAGTTCTGGAAGCACACAGAAGGGATGATGCATGTCTAGCACAAAACTGTGGCCCACAGTTGTGGCCCTGCGCTGGGCTTACATTTCAACGTCACTTTCACAAAAACTGATCGAGGTCACACTGATCTCCTTGCTAGGACATAGGTTACATTGAGAATGTCTTCCTGGTGCAGCAGCTACTCAGCAACGGTGGGATCCAACGGGCAGTAACCGAACAGGTGAGGACTGCTCCGATCAGTAAATACTTTCAGGTGGCACAGTGGCGCACACCTGTAACCAACAGCACCATGGAAGGCTGAAGCAAGAGGTAGCAAGTCTGAATCCAGCTTGAGCAGCTAAGTGAGTCCCTGTCTCAAAATGTAAAAAGATTTTAAAGGGCTGTAGATGTAGCTCAGTGCAAAGGCTCTGTATTCAATCCCCAGTACCTCAGTAAATAAGTAAATAAAATAAAACAGTAATAAAATTTAATGAGTCCAAGACAAAGCTGGAGTCCACCCAACATGAGCAATACAGCAATTAGGGAAAATCCGGCCCATACTTAATAGATCAGGAGAACATGAAGTGTTACCTCCCTACTTGGCTTCACTTGGCTTCCTGAAATGGTCAGTTTCAGAGGAACCTCTGAAATTTGTTAATTTCTATGCCCATACATAATTGGGCTTTTTTTGTACCTGGAATCGAATTCAGGACATCACGTATGTCAGGCAGGCGCTGTGCAACTGAGCTATATCCCCAGTCCCTACTGGTCTTTTTTGACTCGAAGGTACACATTTGTATGTAAGATGGGGGCTTAATTCTAGTACAACTGGCATTTTTCTACAACCCTAAACAGGACAGAGAAACCCACATCTGATTCCTTTTAACAGCTGGTCTGAAGCTCCCTTTACAAAAGCCTCGTTCTAAAGTAGGTAGACTTGAGACACACTGACCCGCCAGATGAAATAAAGTTGCAAATCTCAGGTAGCTGTCACCTCCACTCTGCCGCACCCAACTGCTGCCATAAATTTCCATCATGGGCCCTGTCCAAAAAGAACTTATTCTAGGGAGAATACAGCCAGCCAAGGCCAGAGAAGACAAAGCCTCCAATTTCTCAGGAGCAACAAGCATGAGGTGGACTCACTTTCTGCCTGCAGAGAGGCTCCTTCTTGTTCTCTTCGGCCTTTGCATCCTGCTGCGAAGCATCTTTGGGCGTATTTACTGCTAAAACATCATTTATCGTGGAGCCAACCACCATGATCTTGGCCCCACTGGTCACTTTTATTTCCCTCAACGTCTTATCTTCAGGGACGAGCCCCTTATACATGACCTTCTGCATGGCAGGCGGGAGTCCTTGGGGAAAAGTAGAGAGAAGACAGTTAAAGGAAGGCACAGACATGTACCGACCACAGACTTGAGTCACCACACCAGGAAGCCGGGCGTGGTGGTGCAGGCCCCTCCTCCCAGCACCTGGGAGGCTGAGGCAGGAGGATTGCTGAGTTCAAGGTCAGCCTCAACTACACAGCAAAACCCTGTCTCAAAAAAAAAAAAGGATTGAGAGTAACAGCAGGAAGTAAACAGTGCCTCCATCATCTCAGCCTCCATTTGCAGAACTTTACCACAGGGATGACAGTAGGTCCTTCAGTATAGATTTGTTTCAAGGATTAAAACAGCATAAACGCAAACCATCCAGCACAACAGCATAAACGCAAACCATCCAGCGCAACAGTAATTGTTCAGTGAACATCAGAATACTTTGCAAGTTGTTTCTCGGTCATCTACTCACTCAAATACTAAGTGAGAACTCACAGATGTGAGCACAAGCCAGTAAGGTCAAAAATCACTGTTTTTATGCCTTCAGAGGCTACCCGGGGAAAGCGTTAGAAAGAAAGCACTTTAAATGGCAAAGCATCATAAATAACGCAAACTAAACAAATACGAGTCATTTTAAGGGCTATTGAGACAGCCACCCGCAGGCTTTCTTAAACTTCCCTTATGAAAGTTACCTACAATGTCTGCTGAGAACAGATTCCTGGCTACACCCCAGACCCACTGAGCCAAAATCCTCAGGACAAAGGCCTGGGGCCGTACATTTAACCAGCGCTCCGGTGATCGCACCAACGAAGTCAGCAGCACTAGCTCGAAGCGCGCGTTCCGGAGGCCGGGGCTTCGGTCTCAGTCACTCGCCGCGACTTCAGGGCTCGCCCTCCCGCTCCGATCAGCGCAAGGCGTTCAAGGACTGACCCCGGGGACGCGACGCGGGGACGCGAGCCAAGGCGGGCCCGGGGGCCGGGGAGGGCGGGCCGCGCCGACCTCACCTGTGATGGAGTGGATCCTCTGCTTCAGCTCGGAGCCCGTGCTGTCCAGAGGCACCTTCACGTCGTGCTTGGTCTTGTTCCAGACGATCTTCAGCTCCACCAGCTCCCGCTCCCGGCCCGCGTCCTCGCCGTTGCTGACCGACGCCCGGGCCGCCGCGTCCCCGGGGGGCTGCGCAGGGGCCGGC